TTTTCCTTTCTTTTTGCATATTTTGCATTTTTTAGTTTTTTGGATTTTTTGAGATTTTTTTGCATTTAACCTGTGTTTTAATCAAAATCGGGCATATTTATGAAATTGTATTTTAGTAAACGTGTTTTTTGATTTTTGTCAATTGAATTTTCAAGTAAATTATAACTGTATAGATTAAGTAAATACCCCGATTTCGCTGATATAACGCTATACAATTACAGTGATAATATATAAGTAGTTATAATATAATATTACGATAATTTCGTTTTAGTTATTTGGTTCTAATTTTTTTTATCTGTTGATTTTTTTTGTCGATTTCTACTAAATCTACTAATAGTTGATTATCAATGAACGAGTGTTAATGAAATTCGTTTTATACAGTCCACATTTGTCTTGTGTGCTTGTACAAAATTATTAAATAATAAATTTCCTTTTTTTTTGTTGCATATTTTTAGAGCTTATTTAGCGATTTTTAAGGTAATGTTATAGTGCATATTTATGCAATTTTAAGTGCTATAAGATCCCAACCCTGATAATTACTATCGTAGTGCATTCATTATCGTCTTAAAATATAAATATGTCTTTGATCTTTTTTTTTAAATTTAAAATCGCATACGGTTTTGTCAAATTCTTGAATACATAAATAAAAACATAACGCATTAAATATTTTAAGATAGACTGTTTTAGGATTTTTTATGTATAACGATTATCTCAATAGTTAAAAAAAATTACACACATTCAATTGTATGTATAACCAAATAATATATTTTATTTTTAGGCTATAAATTAATAACTATAAAGGTAGCCACACACGGTTCGGTCGGCCTGTCAGTTATGCCTGCACAGGCCGCCGGAGACCGGTCGGCCGGACTGACGCAGCGCTCACATACGTTCCGGCGAATCTGTCCGGCCGCGGCAAGTTCGTATTTATTTTATACTGTAGAGACATGGCTACCAACGAAGACGCGCTTGCTGTTTTAGGGTTGTTGATAGCCATGAAAAATAATAAAATTAAAAAACGTCCCTTTTGCATTTATCATGGTATTCTCTAGATTTTATTTTCCACAAACAATGTTCGCTTCGGTAAATATTAATAAAATCTTCAATACACTGAGATTCTTTCTCTCGAGACATTTTTTAATGACAAAACTTCACAAAAGTGCAGAGCAGTGCAATATGCAGTGTAGTATAAACACGTGGACTGTGAAATAAAATTAAACCGTCTGGCAATTTGGCCGGACGGCCGGAACCCATACACGTTTCGATACGCCTGCGCAGTCCCGCGGTCGACCGGATGGACAAACGAGTTTTCATATTTTCTCCGGCGGCCTGAACAGATATAACTGTTCAGGCGACCGGAACCCACAAACACAACGGCCGACTGGTCTCCGGCGGCCTGTGCAGGCATAACTGACAGGCCGACCGGACCGTGTGTGGCTACCTTAAGTATCTATAAACTGTATGTCAATTTCATTTTTCGATCAATCTACCATTAATAAATCAAATTTCCAGACGCGGATCTAGCCTACCATAACGGGAGGGGCAAATTATAAATAAGTATACTCTATGAGTCGGCTGGGGTTAGCCGGCTGACGGTTTTCGTCGATCATACGGTCACAATAATATTGATCTTATTGACTATTCATTTATTCATTAATTTATGTTATAAAAATGAAAGACGAAAATGTGTGATAATAACAATACATTAGAATGTGATTGCGCAAAATAATGCAATTTAATATGTACACTATAATATAAATTAAAACTATATTTTTAATAGTAAATTTCCTTTGAAATTAAAAATATTTAATATGAAAGTATACAAGTATTTGGTAGTGGTTTGGGTACCTATGTAATATTTTAATTTTGTAAATTATATTATTATGATATTTGACATCTTATTAATATCCTAACATTTGTTAACTATACTATTGAGTAATAATGATGATAATAAATAATAATTAATATACATCACAAATTCGTTTCAAATTTAAATTTTAAAATAATTTTATTATCATGGTTCATATTATTGATGAATACAATAACATTTTGGTGTTGGTGAAAATGAATATTATTATGTATGCTATATGATGATTCATGTGAAGAAAACTTTAAATAATGACGAGGTATGCATTTGTTACTATTCACAATTATAATTCCATGAATTTAATTTGTATGTTTTTAAATCAAAAGTGATTTATTACAACTAAATAAAATAATTTAGTTTTCTCATCAAAATATATTTAAATTTCAAAAAAATTAACTATTAACTTTAACTTTACTGTCATTTATTACAATAAATTAGGTTTTATTGAATGACGTAGTATTTACCTAACAAAGCGAAGAAGAATTGAAGCATGCAAACATTAAAATCAGAATTAAAGCCAAAATTTGCTACTAAAGTTATTATGCATAATTGTTGAACCATAATGCTTTATTGGCAAAGTTTCATTAAATTAAAAAAAAAAAAAACCAATCAAAGTATTGCCACCTTTTAATATTATCAGTATGTGAAGCAGAATGCTATTTTACAGCTGGTACCAATTTCATTATATTTTAATATTTAGTGACCATAGATATGGAGAATGATTATGAAGAGTAATAATTAATAAATTATTAATTTAGACACAATGTCTGTAATATAATCATAAATTATAGGTTTAAATTATTTATATTTGTAAACTAGTTACCCTGATATGAACACCATTATCTCACTATTTTCAAATAGGTAGTAGTTCTTGTAAGATCACGAATATCAATAATGTTATTGATTATTATTACTATTATTATTCGTATTAAACAGAATTTAACATACACGTTTCATATTAAAACTATTTAACTTATTATCTTATTCAAAATAGAATAAAAATCGTGATAATATTTACTAGTCATGACATTACAATGTAAATATTTTTTAAAATAATAAATATTACCATACAACTGAGGGCCTTGGAAATTATTTAAAAAAGGGTAAAAATATTTTTTTAGGTAACTAATTAAATCTAATTGAGTTTAATTGATTTATGTTAAAAATATAACTTTCTTCAATAATTCATTTTTGAGTTCAAACATAATAAAGAAAAATCGCAAATTGTACTTTTAACTAAGAAAAAAAAAATAAAATTATGTTTAAACTATTTGAATAGATACAAACTATGATTATGTTTAATATCCGAAGTAATAAAAATTAAGATACATTTTTATAGCGATTGAGTAACGATTCATAAATGGTTAGTAGTTTATTTAAAGCTTTTTCTTTAGAGGAAATAGTAATTTGTTTTTTCTATAAACCATAGAGCTAGTGTGTATGGAGTTACACCTTATATGTTTTAAAATACATTCTTTCCGCTAAGTAATAAAAATGTATGTTATATGTTAGTAGATATTACATTTTTTGATTACATATAAAGTGAAGAACTTATTGGTATATAGATGCGTGTGTAGCGTTTTTTTAAAGTATTCTTGAAAGTGTTCCTCATTCATCGATTGAAAACTCGACACTGATGATAATTTTTAAAGCTTAAGTTTCAACCTTCCATTTTATTAAAATTTCATAAGTTATTATATTAATAATTATAATTTTATATTGTATATTATACACATTAAACAAAACAAATAAAGTTAGTGACTTATTCTAGAACGAATTTTATTTGAATTTTGTTTCTCATTTAAAATTAAATGGTTATATATATATATATATATATATAATTTTAATTTTAAATAGTACTTATTATGTTACTCCATATTATCGAAAAGTATAAGAAAATAAACATTTTTTGATTGTGGGAAATTGTAATAAAAAAATAATAGACCTATACATTTGTTTTTTATTCTTAAATTACACAAATTATATTATCTTATCATTTTACTTAAAATTATAATATCAGTTTACGGTTTGAAAAGCAAAATTGAGAGTTTGAAACTAAAAAATATTTTACAATATTATCCATTAAAAAATATACATACATAATGTGTTGTATACTTTTTAATTATTTAAACTGTTTAAAACTGTTTGTAGAAGGAAGCAAAATAATAACTTAGATGACTCCCAAAATTATACCACTGTACCTACACGTGATGTATATTATTCACTTACGTCGTTTATCCATTTAAATCGAATTAAATCCCACGTCGTGTAATCAATTTACTGTAGCGTACCGTTTGTGCTAAATTTGCATCGGGTGTATTTTAAAATGATCGATCCGTCGCATTAATCTCTACCGCGACTGTAGTGAGGTGGAAAGGAAATGGACGGATTGAAAACAAAATAAGAGAGAAAGAGGGAGGGAGAGAGGGAGAGTGAGAGAGAAAAAGAAAAAAGGAGGAATAATAAATACCCGAGATACACACATAGAAATTCTATAAGTTTTTTATGCGTTGTCGCGGTCTACGACTATTATTAAACAATGATTTAACACGTTCGGCAGTGGTATACTCGTATAGTAGCAGAGGTACAATTAAAATGCTTAAGATACCATTTATTTTTCACAGGTTATTACAAATTAATTTTTCGGAAGCAAAAAATAATAGTTATCTTGCCATACGCAAATACTCTTGAAAAAACTATATTTACTGCGGTTAGAAGATGTTTTCGGTTACTTGAATGAAAAAAAAAATTATTCATCGTTTAAGATGTACCTATTATTAATAATATTTTAATAGTTTTTTCGCTCATGGTTGTGTGTGAAAAATGACCATAACGATTACGACAACGAAGTGTAAGCGGTCCTATGTCGTACATGCGCATACAAATGTTTTATAATTTGCGCACGGACGCTTGAGGGGGTAGATAAAAACAACCCTACAGGACTTCATTTTGCACGTTCATTAACGTACCGAATAATCGGGTGAGCGCGCTGTGAAAATTGGGTACGACCGCGGGTTACGATTTTTTCGATACAAACAAACGCAGTTTTCGTCCCTTGAGAGCGTGTGCGTAGTAAATAAATGACCGCCGGTAAACCTTACCCGAATGGACTACGAATAATTATCAAACTTACCGGACTCGAAGTAGTGTGCGAACACCGGTCTGAGGCGATATTATGCAATTTGAATTGAAATTTATTCAACGAACACTAACGGCGAAACGTCTCGTTATCAGCGGCGGTGGGTAAGTATAGTTGTATATTATATTACAGAATAATTATATCATGTATTTAACCCGTCCGTCTGCAGAGCTGGTTGAATATACGCGTTGCAGTCGTATTCCGCAACCGGGATACCACCGATGACGGGTGCTGCTATCAGTGCAGTTTGCCAACTTATGAATATAATATTATTATTATAAACATAAATGTAGAGAAAAAAAGTAAGTGATTATGATTAGTTTTTCTCGAAACGATTATGAGAATAATGTCATACTGTATTGTATCCACTATCTATGCAGTGCCGGGTTAACAAATATGGCACCTGGGACAGATTTTAATATACCGTCCTTTAACCCGTTATCGGTATCGTGGTGAGCGTGACGCTCACCTCGTAAGTATTTTGAAAACCACTTGTTTAATTATTTCTTGATTCCTCATTTTTTTTTTTCGAAACTTTAATTGAAACAATTCTAAATGTATTCTTGTCGATTTAATAATTTTATAAATAATTCTTGATATGATATTGACGTGCAATATCACTAATGGGTGCTAATTCGGTCTACGTTCGGTACGCGGATATTGGACTACAATAATGTATATGTGTTATCTGCCTCGGTTATGTATCATATTTTGGATATTTCTTTCAACGGTTAATGATGTTGATAGTCTATAATTATCTTTACCTTAAATTGTATAACTGTTGGTTTTACTTTTATTACAGTCATCACAACGCTCATGAAGCAGGTTTACGAGTATAATAAAGAATTTTCTTAATATTATTGGTATTTTGCGCATTATTTATAAACTGCAATGGCTGTGACGATGTTTCGTGAGTTTTATACTACAGTAGTAGTGCCAAATGAGATTGAATGTCATCGGTTTTTAGTAGAAAAGGAATTGTTGAGAAGTGTCGAAGACAAAGCCCCTTGTCATAAATTCGGCACAGAAATGCAGATAAAACGACGGAAATATCGTAATGGGGAGTGGATGGCGATTTTTCGGTGTTCAAAAAAAGGTTGTCAGACAACATGATCACCACGGGCTGGTAGCAGCTTTTTTAATTTTACTGACTTGAACCAACGTTACAACAATGGGTTAACACTTTGTCAAATTGTTGAACTTATATTTATGATTGTTTTGGAATCATCCACACAAATGGTAATGGATCGAACAAGAAGAAATAATGAGTGTGTCACCGACTGGTTTAACATGTGCTGAGAAGTATGTACAGCTGTTTTGAAGATTAAAGGAAAAATTATTGGAAATGCACAAAATCCAATTCAGATTGACGAAGCTCGTTTCGCTAGCTGAAGGAAGTATAATATGAGTAGATTATTAGCTGGTGACGCTCCTCCCGCCTTGACATATACACATGCTAAAGTAATTAATAACCGAAATCATGGTGCAAGGGGAGATGACCCCGGGGTATTTGGTTTAAAAAATGGAATTGACTGTCGTTATTTTTATGTTCAACGACACGATCGAGAAACACTTTACCGATAATTGAACGTAAATGTGAGGCAGAATTCATTCTGATGAACGGGCAAGATATATGTGTCTCAAAGGCCGAGGTTTTGTACATAAGATGGTAAATCACCAAATATCATATGTCGATGCAAATACAGGAGCCCACATACTCAAAACATTGAGAGGTCATGGTTGGACGCGAGAATTAAAATTATTGAAGAAAATGAAGGGTGTTCCTCTTAATCATTTGTAGTCTAATCTTGATCACTATTGCTGGCGACTTTACCGTCAAGACAGTCTGGACCTTTTTCTTACCATGTTAGAAGATATTTAAATCGTAAATAGAGATCATTTTTGATATAACTCATTCAAAATCACATGTATCGACTCTAACCGACTCAGATATATTTTGGTAGAGCGCAAACCGAATCATGAATAACAATATAAAATATAAAATAACTGACTCAGACATTTGTCTGTATGGAATTATAAATAAAATAATATAAAAAAATTTTTAAAATAAAAATATAAAAAAAAGCCAGTGTAGTAAACCACCGGGCAGCTAACATCCGCTAACATTATATCATGTATTGATACTAATGTGGCAAAACCGAAACGGAAACCAATATTAATACTTACTCGTATTGATATCACAGATATATATATTATACTAGATAACGAACTACCGATGTTTTCCATTGAGAGAAGTGAAGCCCGGGGACGCAAGATTATCATACGTCCGCCATGTTTTCGGTTGGCAAAACAATATTACTTTACACTATATAAAACAGTTGAACACACTAAATTATTAAATTAAACATTTTTCATTACGTTTAATCAAAATTAAATTTCATTATAGAATTGAGAATATTAATTTAAAATTGCACTATTGATTATTTACATAATGTATATAATATATATTGATTATATTATACTCGTAATCAATGAGTATACAATAAATAAAATGACTTATTTAAATACACAAAACCATATCATTATACTTACTATATTTAGTTTTAACTATTATATATATATATATATATATATTAATTAAAATATATAAAATAAATGTTTATATACTGATATACTGTAGTAGGGTTTGTTTTCCAAGTTTGGTTACTAACCTTAGCGCAATTGATTGAAAAGCCTGAATTGGCCTGATGTTCGAGGGATTTGCTGGACGCCAGATTGCTATTCCATAAGACCAGATTGGTCTTATGATTGACTTATATGTAATAAGTTGGTTTTGGAGTGTTATTTTGGAGTTTAGGAGTGGTCGGAGGAGGTGAAGTCTGTTGTTCGATGATATTCTTTTTGGTGGGGGCTCAAAGTTAGTCTTTTATCAAGCGTTATGCCTAAGTACTTAATTTTGGTTTGGACAGGGATGGGGGCGTTGTTCATAATTAATTGAGGGCACTCACAGGGAGAATGTTTTAACGTAAAAGTAATTTGTACAGACTTTTCCGTATTAATTTTTATTTTCCATTTTTTGGCCCATTCTTCAATTTTATTAGCATGATCCTGGAGTTCAACTGAAGCTAAAATAGGATTTGGACTGGAGGAAAGAATAGCTATGTCATCAGCGTATGTTGCTAGAAGGGTGTTACTAGATTGAGGGATGTCTGCTGTGAATACATTATATAGATCAGGGGATAGATCACTGCCCTGTGGAACTCTAGCATATATTGGGTGGGTAGATGAAATATCGTTCCCTGTCGTATGACAAACGAACAATTTTGTATGTAAGATTTGATAATAAGATAGTAGGGAGCTGGCATGAAAAGTTTTAATTTGTATAGTAAGCCATTGTGCCAGACTTTATCGAATGCTTGAGCAATATCTAAAAAAAGTCCAGAACAGTATTCTTTATTTTCGAGAGCAGTTGAGATTTCATCAGTAAGACGATGAACCTTATGGATTGTTGAGTGCCTGTTTCAAAAACCAAACTAATTATTCGGTATGATATGGTTGTTTTGAAGGATGGGACGTAATCTTTTCAAGAGGGCCTTTTCGAAAAGTTTACCAAGGACTAGAAGTAAACTTATGGGACGGTATGACGAAGATAAGTGTTAGGTTTATTAGGTTTGTATACAAGTATAATGACTGCAAATTTCCAGATTTTAGAGAAGGGGGAAAATCTTAGCATAGAATTATATATGTGGGTGAGCAATGATATAGTTTTGAGAGATAGATTTTCAGAATTTTGTTTGTAATGAGGTCATTTCCAGGTGCCTTGCCGGGAGCTAATTTTTAATTATATACTGCATTTCACCAGGAAAAATGAGTTTTGCACGTAGCGACATAGGTAGCGAAGCTGATAGAAATTGTTGAATTTCAATAATTGTATCGTTTTCGGGATCGGTGCACGAATGAAGCTGGAATGTTTCAACTAATTGAGAATATACAGATACAGAGAATGTACAGAATATACGTTGCAATTAAAAATGTAAATGTTGAGGTGTTTTTAAATCATATTATCTATACTTCATACGTACCGAAAAAAGTGAATTGAGGAATTACTTTTAAAGCGATTTGAACAACCATATGCAACATAAGAAACAGGCATATTTAATAAATATTAGTTACTAAATAGTGTATAATTAATATTGTGAGGTGTGGGGAATAGTGTTGATACAATATTTTGCCAACCCAAAACATGGTGGACAAATGATAACGTAATCAATGCGTGCTTCAAGTGATATCGGAAGTTCGTCATCTAGTATAATATAGATATCTGTGATTGATATGCAGTTCCCACGGAACAGAGCCTATTTTCAATATCACAGAAACAAGCTTCCTTGTTCACATCCGGCAGAATCCCCATCGACCTTACTCTTATCCTAAATGGCTGCCTATAAATACGGTATCCATTTACCCATACATTTAGAATAGTAGAATGAATTAAACTAGTGTTAACTAATTACTCCGCTTACTGCACCGACGCTCATCTGGTCGTGAAGCCCGCGCGCCTCACATCGCCGCCAGCTCTGTGAGTCAATCTTTATTATTCTCGGGCAGAGCTTAATTACTCTGTCCTCACACTTTCAATTATAAATTACTATCTTATTTGTATTAACCACATATTATATATATATTATTTTATTCATTATTATACATATCTGTATAACTTTAAACCATCGTGTTTTGTCATTTAAACACCTTCCAACGACTCTACATCACAGACGTGAACCGTTCAAGTATTTATTCGTCAACGGTGTATTGCGTCGTCCTCTTGCAGACGGCCCACTACACTAGTTAAAATGATCTATGTAGAGTGTTTAGCAGTGGTGCCCAACCCGTGGCCCGTTACGAAGTTTCTAAAGTAAAAAAAAAAAATTTAAATGTATGAACATTTTTTGATTCATAATGTCGTTTGATATTAAATTCTTTAGAAACTGAAACCATTTCACGACACACGAGACAAACGGCTTTTCCATTAATTTCAATGAAAAAGTAATTTATAGACCATTAAAAATTTGGCAATCATCAATATATTTGCGTTTTTTTTCTGTCTGCCATTTTCATACGCAAACTTTACAATTAAATATCGATATCACTCGTGTACTTAAAATAACGTAATGATCAAACTAATGTGTACCTACGATGTGTACCTCAATTCATAATCTTTTCAATA